TAAAACAGGTTTTAATTTTGAAAATTTAAAAAGTTAGTTAAATTTACAAAATCTGAAGGTATATCATTATAAACCAAGGTCTTGGTACAAAAAATGCAAAGCGGCAGTGGCTCAGTGGTTCATGTGGGTTGTCTACGAACCGAAAGGTTGGTGGTTCAATCCTCGGTTCCACCTGACCAAGTGTTGAGGTGTCCGTGAGCAAGACACCTAACCCCAGCTGCTCCCGACGAGCTGGCTGGCAGCCTTGCATGGCTGACACCGCCGTCGGTGTATGAATGTGTGTGTGAATGGGTGAATGTGAGGCAAATGTAAAGCGCTTTGGTGGCCATTAGGTCTATGAAGGCGCTATATAAATGCAGTCCATTTACCATTTACCGGTGCAACCTCCTCATTTTGTATTTTTTCATAAAATAGGCGTTTCTCCAGTTATCACTTTGTTTTTGTCAACACCATCAGACAAAATAAATAGCAAATTTTTTTTAATTTATTTGGTCTAAAATGTATTTAGAGTTTTTAAATCATTATCTGGGATTCTTAGTACACATATATGCTGTTAAATGTTGAATATTCACTTTTGTTCATTTTTTTATACTGTTTCGCGTGTACTCCTTTAAAAGATATAACATCATACAATATATCATAAACATACTTTTTAACATCAGACAATATATTTTGATGTTAAACCCATGATTTTTTTGTGTCTGATCTCATGACATTTCACACTTTTTTTCATACATATTTTACAATAATTCATACGAATTTGTACGAGTGCGGTCGTACAATTTAGACACCTAATAAAACGCATATGAATGACAAATCGCTGTGAGATCAGATTGATCTATAGACAGTATTTACCCCAATTACATCAGAAGTAACTGTAATTAAATTACAGATAAATGAAGAGTAATCCCTTACTTTACATTTTCAAGGGAAAAGTAATTAAATTATAGTAACTAATTACTTAGTAATTAGTTACACCAACACTGTGTGAAACACAGTAAAACCAATGTAACCCATATAGAGCATAAACAAAGCAACCTCAGCTTACGTTTTCAGGGCTGCCCGCTCTCCAAGGTCTCTCCAGCACTGAAAAGCTTTTCCAATATTAAAGGAGCATTTCACCCATTTCAACATTATTCTTTATTGAAAGTGGATCATATATGTAGTCGAAATGTAAAAGAATTTTTGAATTTGGTGCCCTCTTGACCGAGAAGACAGAAAATAACCGAAGGATGCATTTGTATGTAAGAACACAACTCCCACAATGCACCACATTGCACAGCTCCGCAAGCCACACCCACTAATCCAGAACAGCGCACAGAGAGATCACTCTTACGTCTACAAGGCTAACGTTAGCTGCCACCAGAGTTTGAAATTCATTTCTCTCAAAATTTCTAGTTAGTTGGCTGTGGCGAGCAGGACGATCGAGGGCGAGGGACTTAAGAGGACGGCGCGAGGCCGGTGGCATGAGTGATAATGAAAGACACCAGTCTCGCGTCTCTCACGGAGGAGCGAAAGCATAAAATTAGGAGCGACGACGGCAGATCGAGAGAGAAACAGGCCTGATTTTATGATGTTTTGTTTCTGTTGTGTGTAACGTTACAGCAGTCGTCAATTAGGGGCTGTA